CCCACCACAAGCTGTGGGATGATCATGATTTGTATTCGCAGGCCAGTTTGTGAGGATCGATCTGTTTTTCGTGTTAAAGTATCTGCTTACAGTGATACTCTTGCGTATTCCATATTGTTTTAGTCGATGTAAATTTTGATTTTTCTGCCTTAACTACATCTGCCTGAAGGAGGTCTTATCCTTAAGTCGTCAGGTTGATAATGCTTTGTTGAACGTTGTTAATAGATACGTGCATATATGCCAGTTTCTATCAGATGGTGAAAAATCTATGTCAAAATTTTCGGTTTGAGCGTTCACCGTGTCCAGAGTACCAAAAAAGATAGAAGTTGGCATTGTACACCCGTGTCTAGAAAATTCCCGGATCCCGCACCAAAACAACCCGACCACGACCACGAAACCCATGGGGTTTACTTAAATCTAAGTTGTGGAAAAGGTAGCACAAGAGGTAGAGAAGGCCTCACAGTATAGATGAGTTATAGAGAGCTTCCATTGAAGAGTGGGGATATTTTCCCCCAAGAGACCTTTGATGCGCCTTGAGCTCATAGTATGCCAAGGGTGAATCAGGCAAATGGGGGCCACACAAAATAGTAGCTTTTTTATATTTCATTTCTTTACTATCTAATTATGCCACAATTTCAATTTCATGTCTATTCAATCTGTAGTTGTTGAGATATTCGGTGGGTCGCGGTTTGGTTGCTATGGAGTGGGATCCGGGAATTTTCTAGACACGGGTGTAATCCGCCTTGACGGTTTAAGGGATACGTATCATGAGAGGCTGGCCAAGATGCATATACTGATCCTTTTTCTTCAGCTACATGCCCTGCACCCACGTTTTTCACCTAAGAGCTGGGAGATATCTACATGCTAGCCGTTGCAACGCTGCTGTGACCGGGAACTAGGCTCGCTACCATACAGCTGGGTGCGGCTTAACCTAAAGTTACTAAGATGGATAGGGAAGACTGCACAGAAACTAGTTATGCAGAGTTCCGCATACTCTATAGCCTACCACCATAACATAAATACATGGCATCTTTGTCCCCTCGACATTTTCCCCTTTCCGCTCCCCTCATTTCCCTCTCCATCGGTATTTACTCCCTACAGTCTTTTCCGTCTCTTGTCGAATACTGCCAGTTGACGAACAGGGGACTTTGGGCCAATAGAAATTAAAAGGGCCGGAGATCTCGTAGCTTGGCTGTTGCTTGACTATTTCTTTCCATACTTGGAATCCCTGTTCGTCAAGTGGCAGTATTCGTCAAGAGACGGTAAAAGACTGTACTCGGGGTAGGCAAAAAGTACCGGACAATGCAAGTTTTGTCTCTGGGCTTTTTTTGCAGTAGTTCACGCCTAGCACGCGCGCCCATTGGTGAACCAAAAACCTGCATTGTCCGGTACTTTTTACCTGCCCCGAGTACTTCTTTTCCAGCTCTCTATGCAGCCGCAACGTTACAAAATAAGATGCATGATGGGGATTGCGACATGAATTCTATCAGGATCGGCCATCGACGCCTATCTAATACTACAGTAGTGCAAAATTATATCTATGGATGAACTGATTCTATCTCCCTCGGCCAGCAGATCAATGTCAATGATCACTTTATGCGAAAAAACCTACGGAGAAGCAATTCCCACTGCTTATTCAGAATTATAACACGGACTTTGGAGTCTCTAGGTTATGCATGGGGTCTCTAGAGTACATGTACCCGGGGGTGCCGGAAAGTGATACAACGCTTGACCTAGCAACGCCGAAATGTACTCAGAACTTCAACTTTTAACACAACACAATGCTTGGGCAGGATAGATATTTTAGTCATACCCATGATAAATGAGTCTCTAGAACAGAGTCTGCAATTTTTCAGGTCATTGGTTTGGGGTTTTTAGCCTGGGGAAGGACAACTTGTGACAAGAGACAGTAATAAAAGGAGAAGCAACAGTCAACCACATCAACTCTCGACATAACTATGGTCTCCAGCTTCTAAATTACCATGGATTTGCTCCACATTCTGTTAGCTAGTTTGGTTGTTGAGAAGTATGGACTATTTGACCGTTGCATCACTTTCCGGTACCCCCGGGTACATGTAGGTTATGCATGGTAGCACTCTGCGTGATTCTAATTAAGCTTAAGCCTGGCTTAGGTTCTATAAATGGTAATATAGACCGTGTGCACCTGTGTCGAGCATGTACCTGTGCCGAGCACCTTATAATAAAGGCAGCATTTTAGCCACCATTTGGAGCGGATCCCTAGAGATCAGATAAGATGCTCGGCACAGGTACATTCTCGGCACAGGTGCACACGGTCTATGACCCGATACTCCTAATGAGTATAAAGATACATGTACTTACAGGTCATCAGATATATACCCTGGGTATCCACTGAAATATGATCAAGGGCACCAGGTACACCGAGTTCCCTATGCACGCAGTTCGAAAAACAGACTTTCGTATGATATATACATGTATAGTATATATGCAGAGTAATATTCGCAAGTAATATAGCCGATTTCAGCACCTAGCCGACGAACTTCCTTACCTCTATATGCCATGATACATATATCTATATATATTAGATCATATACATGTAATTCTCCAAATCTCCATATAAACCCCATTGAACTAGGGCTCTGGTAACATAATTCTTGGCTTTAGATCTCGTGGGTTTCGTTATTATGTAATTATTCTTATAATTATATAGTTCTAGAATGGATCCGACTAGGAATAAAATAAATGCACTGCCCTAGACCCACACGCACGGTTTTCTTCGAGAGAGATCTAGAGTTAATAACAACAACAGCGATCAACAATTTCTATGGTATATAACGAGTGATAGTGTGTGACACCTATCCCCCACAAAAACACAAATCCAGAATACACACCACAGCGATGTAAGGGGTATCTATATTTGTTTCTCCGACTTTCCCACAAAAAACGTTTGGGAGGTTAAATCTTCTATCTGGCAATCGCAAATGACGCTATCAACTCACAATTTCTTACTACTAAGCTAAATTATGGATGCATGGCTTGAGTGGAAGGACTAGGAAGGTGTAAGTCCTGATAACTAAGTGCTGCTAGAGCTACCTCAGATCGTAGATATGAAGGTACGTACTATTCTAGTCTAACTATCGCCCTCAACTTTGGGCTTGAGATTGGGTAGAATCTTCGGTATTAATCTAGATGAAGCTAGGATTAGATCAAAAGCAGCATTTTAAGATGTCATCTTAGACTTCCCCCGATAGAAAGCTGGGGAACTGGCATTGGGCATCGATATCTACCGCTCATAGTTGTGGCTCTATAGGGCTCTAATAGGTCTTAATCTTCTGTCTGGGTAAGCTCGGCTCATACTGCGTATATACGTTATACCCGTTACTATATCTAGAAGCTAAAGTTTAAACCTAGGATCCCAAACCGGCTGGTTCACCAAGCCATTCAATGCTCATCTTTCTTCCATGGTCAAGCGCTATGTACGTGCATGTATGTACCTCCCACAATTGGCTCTGGATGACCCTGAGGATGACAATCACCAGCCGGAGTCTACAACAAGATTTAACCCCAGGATGATGTGAAGATCGATTCCAATACAGGCAGCTCGAATGAGCTCAAATTCTGAAAGAGAAGTTTCACCAGACGAGACTCCCGCCTAAAGATGAATCAACACTAATCTACACGCATCCAATCATTACATATAAGCTGACCAGCTGCAGGTTGCGTATAGTTAAATGCTGTCACTGCGAATAGAGAATATTAATGACCTCTTCTTAAGTTATAATCAAGTACTTCAGAAACTCTCAGTACATTCTACATGTTGATAAAAGCAACTTTGTGCCCGCGATGGTTATATGCCGGCTTTTCTCGGTGGGGGTGAGCAGGTAAAACAAGGATTTTGATTTGTGCCCATCACGAGTACAGTCCTCAAATACAAATCTTACACATTAATCTTCGCGATCGGCTCAGAAGGCAGCGATTTCATCCTGGCAAGTGGAATACCTGCATGACACGCACTAAACCACGCAGTATTTCAATTTGGGGACCGCATACCGCGGCCCCAGCTCCACTGGGAGGGAGAAACCAACGAATTTCTCAACAGTGTTACTTATATGCAATGAAGATCTGACAGGGGCTCCATTAGCTGTGGTACCATTGAATATTAGGGAGTCTTGGTGCAGAATTCGGGAAATGATAGTCAAAGGTTCGCCCGTGCCTCAAGGCGCTGGAGGAGGCACATGTACTACCACCAATATCTGGACAACTATTGATACATGCAGACAACCGTCTATAAGTACTCACGGATAATTGCATATGGAAAATGTAGGAATGACCTCATGCGGTTCATGGTTTTTCAAAGATCAAATGATAGATCGGTCTGTTAAACGAAACATTCTTCTGGATAACTAAATATCGAACTTGCATATTCTACACTGACAATATGATGTGCCGAAGCCCACGGGTGTTCTGCAATTCTCGCAATATCCTCTCCCACCCTTCCCCTCATTCTGCATGAGCAGCTCGCCTCCGTTCCCCAATAATAATCCTTGCTTGAAATACTAACTTCAAATCTGACCAACCAAACAGTATCCGATCGTCTCGATGAATAAATGCCTGAGACGCCTGGTGCCGCCCCAGTTGCGGGCACTGCGATAATGATTGTCTCTAATGGTCTTGATTGGCGAGGGTAACGATTGCACTTTTATTTGCACTTCGTGGTTTTGGTACGTATGCACGAGTGAAGGCGCCCATTTCATGCGCAGTGATGCAATGCTATAATGCGATGTATTATAGGATAGATCGGTTGAGATAAGTGTTTACGTGGTCTAGAATAAAGGAAAAACACCCTATGGTTTAAAGATAAACTCCTATCGAAAAACTAAATACAAAAGAAGCAATGCTGTTGAGAGAATAGAAAATCTAACGATAAATAAAGGGAAAAAGGAAAACCAAAGAAAGACTCCAGAGCACCGAAACTCCTAACCAGAACCTAAAAAAATAAAAAGGATCAATGACAGCTGCAGTTAATATCGATAAGTCTCTCCGACATTTCTTCCCGGATACACGCGCGCCTTCGCCATAGCCTCCGCCTCTGCTCTCTCGCCTTTATGTACTAACGGCATTCCTTCAGCTTGAAGTGATGCCAAAAACGCCACATACTTCCGATATCCCCACACCGCATCCTTCGCATTAACCGCCGTATGCCTCACCTTCACCCCCGGCCACTTTTCCTCTACACGCTCTATATCCGCCAGTGTCAACCTCTCACATCCACCTACGTCCACCTCTGCCAGCACTCCGCCACTCCCCTCCTGCACACCCGCCCGTGCCAGCATCTCCCACACCCACGCAACCCTCACATCCAGCAGCCACCGCAGACCCACCGCCTTCACCCGCCCCGGGATCCTCCGCACCAAAAACCGCTTGAGTGCCCCCTTCGAGAGCCCAAAGCACCCCGCAATGCTAACCCTCTCCAGGGCCGTCCCCGTCGCAATCGCCTTCAGGGCGCCGTCCCCAATCTCGGTGAAGTCGAGGATTAGACTCCGGAGGGTCCCGCGGTGTGATTGGAGCAGTGCGCTGATCACGGGGGTGGTGACGGAGGTGTTTGAGAGATCAACGTGCGTGAGCTGTGTGCTCTGGGCGGCGGCAAAAAAGTGGGCTAGTGCTGGCGAGGCGCTGCGGGCGTTGGACATAGAGCTGAGCGTGAGCGTGCGCAAGTTGGTAGAGGCGGAAACGTGAGTAAGAAGGTAGAGTATGCTATTAGTAGAGATGTGGGGTGGAGAGTTGAATGTGAGATGTCTAGCTGTACAGAGATGCCTTGAAAGGGTGGCAGGCGGAACATAGTTGTTAAGTGAGGATTGACGCAAGGTAGTGAGGTCGAGGGCATAGTGGAGAGTAGGCGCTGTGGAAATGAAGTACCACTAAGAAGGATGTTAGCTTTTTGTTTAGACAAACCGGGAATTGAGTTAGAGGGGAAATGATCATTCGGTAGGAATATGAGCATACTGACTTCGCGGCAGACAAGAGCACTATTAAAGAGCTCAGAGTGACTGAGGTAACTGAATATATTCAGCGTGATCTCTGTGGGTAGTTTGGCGAAGTTGTTGGTGCCAGGTAGGGCCAGCTCTGCCTGTTTGGCAGCAGTGGTAGTATTGCTCATATTGGTTGGTGCTGATGAGTATAACGATTGGACCATAGCTGAGTTCCTGGGTATTCGAGTTCTTTACAAGCTTCCTTTCCAAACCGACTCTACTAACATCTAACTCTTTAAAAAGAAACGAAGGAGAGGGAGAGAGAGATCGCCAGTTATATAATAATAAACCAACTTTTCCCCGTACGGCCGCACAGCTGCCGGAGAAACCCGTTACTAAACAACAATAGAAGATTCGTTATGACGCTGCCCGGGCCCAGCTGGAAGCGAAAGAGAAAAAAAAAAGAAAAAATACGGAGGGAGGGGAGGGGAGGGGCCAGAGGGGGGGCGTGAGGGAGCATTCGCGTATTTATATCAAATCAAACAACAAGGGGAAGAAAAAGGGAGCAGCGCGGCAGTATCACATCATCGCATTGACACTTGTTCATTCCTTAATTATTTTCCTTTTCTTCCATGGTGCTGGCCAGAGCGCCTCTTTATTCCGATTCGGCGTTTATTCGCGAGAGGAGATCAGGGAAGAACCACTTGCTCACTAATGGCCTGAGTGATCGAGTGAGCACATAACCACATATACATTCACATGGTAGGTTGGTGAGTAAGAGTACGGGTACGGTAAATCTAGCTCTATGTATGTATGGGGCCGCTGGCTGTTGCTGGTACACAAGACAAGCTGGATCGGAGTGGGGTTCAAGGTAGTGGTTATCCATGGACGCAGATCTCCTACATGCCCCAAGCTACCCGGAAGATTTCCGTCTACTCTAGCAAATCCTGAAGTAGCAGTAGAACTAGCGGTAGGTAGTAAAATAGCGTTATGTAGTGGTTCACTTTTTGCTTTTGCCGCTGTGCAACGGTGCAGGGGGCGACAGGGGGTGGGGCGTACGTTGATTGGCCAGCCTTAACGAAAGAAAGAAGGGCTGGGGGGGAACGGGTTACCGAACAAATGGTATGTGGATTACTTACAGGGCCCAGCGGCGGCGGTGGGCGCAACAGGTACAATGTAGAAATTGGACAATGAATTGCGCTGAAAAATGTAATGTAAGTGCACGCATGATTAATGTTTCATTTTTGGCTTGGCTTGGCTTAGAGCAAGTGATGAGAGAGCGCTGAAAGATTTTGTGGCCTACAGATAGGTTCGTGCCGGGGGTAATTTCAAACTGGGCAAATAAATGGAGAGTACGAGTAGGTAGGAGCTCGCCGAGAGGCGGGGAGGGAGCTCGAGTGTGTAGTGTAGTGTAGGTAGTACATATTTGTCGCTTAACTGTTATAGACCACCGACCACATAGGACTGCCATGTATATATGTAACCCCCTTCATGATTAAGCTAGAGTGATGATGATGATGCTAGAAGGATGATGGTGGTTTTGTATGATCCGGTCTGGTCTGGTCTGGGATTGTGTGTGGTCTGGTGTAGGTTTGTTGGCTGTGGGTGGTGCGGTAGGTGGTGCGGTGGATTATGATACCTCGTCTCTGTAAACTCGATTGAGCATCTTGTACAACCATCGCTTCTTTGCCCCTTGTCAATGCCAATTGGAGAAGAGAACATGTCTCTCCCTCTCTCCCCCTCCCCTTCCCTCCTACATACCTGCCTGCCTGATTACCTGATTACCGAAGTACTCTAACCTCCCACCCGCCTCTCTCTCGAACCTACCAGCCCCACTGGACGCCAAACAGCCGCTTCTTGGGGCCTCCTTCGCGCTCAGTCTTAGACTCGTCCTTCTCAAGGTATATCCGTGGTTTGCCTACCACAACACTGTCAGCGAGCGTCTCGAAAAAATGGTGTTTCATAATAGATTCAAAAAAACCCAATTGGACACAATTCAAGAGAGCAACGAACCTGAGACCTCGAGAAATAGATACTGGTACGTATACTCGCCCTCACCGGGCCGTTTCACGAGGTGGGCGTTCACAACGCCGCGGTCAATGTGCCCTTCTACCTGTATTGCACGAAGTGGGCCGCCGCCAGCCACGCATGTCAGTGATCCACCACTGGACGTAGAACAAAGCAAGAAGAAAAAAAAAGTGCATAGAGTAGAGTAGTGTAGTGTAGTGTAGTTACGTTGAAATGCATCACCAGATGCTCCACGCCATACTTGTCCTTCCAAGTCTTTGACCTATATCCACCCATTCCCATCAGTCCACCTAGATATTTCCAATCAAACCCGCAGAGGGGGGTACTAACGCAATCGGCCGGTTCCGCGACCACCGGTTCGACGTGGGTTCGCCGTACGCCTTGATCCTGTTGCCCAGCAGGCCCACGCACCGCTCGTCCGCGCGCACGCGGGCGTGGATGGTGTTGAACCAGTTTGCGGCGCTGTCGGGCGCAAACACCTCCAAGTAGAGGAGCGTGAACACGGCGCCCTATATATGCCACTTCATTTTAGCAATGTAGTTCTATATATATATCGGCGTGATGGGGTGGTGGGGTAGGGTGCAGGGTGGGGTGAGGTACGGTTAATGCCATCCCTGCGACTATGGTGATGAGGTTCGCGCTGGTGCTGGCGGTGCGGGCGGCCTTTTGCGTGGCCGAGAGGTCGGCCCATTTTTTGTGGGGGGTGGCGGGGGAGATGCTGATTTGTTGGCGTTGGGAGTCGGCGTAGCGGTGGGGGGTTGTGCTGAGGAGGCGGTGGGCGGCGGGGGGAGACGGCGGGTGAGGCGGGCGGGGGCGCGCAAGGCGGACATGGTGGTGTGGTGTGGTGTGGTTTGGTTTGGTTTGGTGTGTGTAGTTGGGTGTGGTGGGGCTTGGGGGGTTCGATTGGTGATGCGGGCGTAGAGAGAGTTTGGGTGTAGGTGGAATTGTAGGCTCACATTGCTTGTGAGACCGAGTGAGAATTCCAGACGGTGGACGCCGAGAGTGAGATCGTAGTGCGGAGGGTGCGCAGGGTACATGTAGGTACGGCATGTTGCACAGTCCCGCTGGTGGGATAAGATAAACGCCTGTTAGCCAAGGATAAACGCGTCGCTCTGCAAACTTTTGCTACTAACCAGAGTAGAGCAGATCAATCCAAGGAACAAAGATGCTAGACCCACTATGCAAGATGTAGCCAGCGATTCCATACCATCTACATACGGATCTCTTAGCACACAGCTCTTTTTCCAGTTTATACAATCGCAGATACAGCACCGTAGATTCACAGTAGATTCCTTACTTAAATGGATTGAGTATTTCCCCCACGCAGAGTCCTAGTGCAGAATTCTCCTGTCAGCGTGTAGTTATCGCGGCTATCTCCCCAATCACACGCAAGAGCCCCACCACCGACCGACGCGCGCTTTGTCAGCACCATTTTCCCCTTTGAGGCCACTTTCACCGAACAGCCAGACAGCCAACCAGCAACCAGACAGACAGTCAAGACAACAACTCTCTCAAACCAACCCCACACACTCCGACTCGTTCGTCCCTCTCCCCTCATTCTCTTCCATCAATCACCACAGGTACCCCCCCAAAAACATTCCTTTCAGAAGATAGAACAGAAAAAAACTTTAAACACAAAAAACATCAACAATGAGCAACCCCCTCGCATCCAAAACCCAGGGTCAGAAGATCTTCGAGAAGCTCAAGGCCCACCGCTCCAATAAGGTGTGTAGTTACACAGAGACACACATCCACACACATCAGGCCAGCAGCTAACTAACTTATCTATCTATCTAGATCTGCTTCGACTGTGGCGGAAAAAACCCGACGTGGGCGTCGGTGCCCTTCGGAATCTACCTCTGCCTTGACTGCAGTGCTCACCACCGCAACCTCGGTGTCCATATCTCCTTTGTCCGCTCCACCGTTCTGGATCGTATGTAGCCCCAGTTTCTTGCTCTTCTATTGGGCTGGATGCAGACTGACATTGCGTGCTGTAGAATGGCAATGGGAGCAGCTCAGGACGATGAAGGTCGGCGGGAACGAGTCGGCGACCAAGTACTTCCAGTCGCACGGGGGCTCGGCAGCTCTTGCGTCAAAGGATCCAAAGGTCAAATATGGATCTAGCACAGCATCAAAGTACAAAGAGGAGCTCAAGAAGCGCAGCGCGGAGGACGCGAAACTGTATGGACCCCCTGAAATTGCACCCCTGTCACGGATTAGGAGCTAATTGGTGGGATGCAGGTATCTGGGTGAAGTCGTGGTTGAGGGCGGCGACGAGCCGGCCACCCCCGCTGAGACAGAGGATGACTTTTTCTCATCGTGGGATAAGCCTTCGATTAAGCGACCCACGCCCCCGCCTTCACGCACGGCGACACCACCGGTCATTGGGCGCACTTCATCACCCTTGGTTGCTAATGCCGCCGGCGGCGCTGATATCGCGAGGACAAAGTCACCACTGACGTCCGGCGGTTCGACCCCGGCGACCACTCCCCCCGTTTCTCGTACTACGACCTCTTCCGCGCTCCGCACAAAGGCAGGTGGTGCGTCTGCGGCTGGGGCCCGCCGTACTGGTGTCCTAGGCGCAAAGAAGCCGCAGAAACTTGGTGCCAAGAAGGTTACCGGTGGTGATGTCCTTGACTTTGAGGAGGCCGAGAAGAAGGCAAAAGAGGAAGCGGAGAGGATCGCAAAGTTGGGATACAACCCCGATGATGAGGTGAAGGACACCAAGGCCAAGCCTCTCAGCCCGGTTCCTGCGTCTAGCACTGCCTCCCACCAGAGGCAGAGCAGTGAAACCGAGAGATTGGGATTGCAGATGGGACGACTTGGGTTCGGGCAGACTGCTGGCGCTGCTGTAGCGAAGCCGGCTGCGAAGAATATGGGTGGTTTCGGATCTGTTGGGCCTGTTAAGGCTGCTGTTGAAGGTATGATTGTTTCCATAATTTGAGTGAGCTGCACTAATTGCGTGATAGATGATGACGAGAGATATGCTCGTACCAAGTTTGGTGCTCAGAAGGGTATCTCTTCTGATGAGTTCTTTGGAAAGGGATCGTTTGATCCCACAGCGCAATCAGAAGCCAAGACCCGTCTTCAAGGGTTTGAGGGCGCCAGTGCTATCAGTAGCAGCCAATACTTTGGCCGTGATGAGGATGAACGTGCAGGCAGCGCCGGAGGTGACGATTTCAGCAACCTTGAAGTTACCGCCAGGGAATTCGCCAGACGATTTGCAGGCACTGCCAGCGAGGACTTGGAGAACGCCGCGGCAGCGCTCGGGCAAGGTGCTAGTAGACTGCAGGATGTCGTCAGGCAGTACATGCGATAGGTTTACTGTGGAGTGGTATTTAGGATAGACATTTGGAGGCGCACAAAAAAGCCTAGCTGTCTTGTGGAACCAGGAGGGAATTGACTTAAAATAGCGCTTTCTTCCCTTTTTTCCCTTTACGGGCGAGTTGGCTATATTATTATTCTTACATTTTCATATCTAGGGTTGAGATTTCTTTAAGTCTAGGGCTTGAATTTATTTCTCCTTCCTCTTGTTCCTTTTTTACCCTTTTTTTTTTTTTTTACCTATTTTTGTTTCTTTTCTGTTTCTTGTTGATGTTTTTTTGCCATGTCTGGTTTCTTCATCTCGTGTCGTAGTAGAATTTGGGCGGCGGCGGCGGAGTTGGGAAAACAAAATATATAACGTCACGTATCTCTATGTTTCTGTTTTGTGGTGATGTCAATGATAGTGATGTGGTTGTTGAGCTCTTGGCAGACGTCCCGATGGGGATGGATCTTGGCGGGGTTTGGTGATGGAGTGTGAAGAGAAGAAAGATTTGGATTGCAGTGTTCTCTTGCTATGGGGAGGGTGTTTTGGAGCCTTTCCTGTGCTGATATTCTCACTACCTCCTCCTTCTAGTGCTACTGCGGTGAGGGTGGTGTTAACTATAGATACTAGCACTATAACAACAGCTTCATATAACGCTAGGTTTCGAAGCACATACCATATCCGGACCCTACACTACCTACAGTACAGAGCGTCAGAATTACCCTCGCGCTAACTAACTCTATAGCTCTGCAGCTAGCGGTCCATATGAAGTTTGAGAACTCTGAAAGCTCCTTCTCAGACCTCTAGTATCACATCGCTGTCCGTGAGGATTTCGCCCCTTCCCACTTTCCCCCAGCTAGATATTATTTCTTTACAGCTCCGCCCGCTAGTGAAGGGTGGGGGTTTGGGGTTTGTAGGATGTGTTGGGGTTGGGGTGGGGGTGGGGGGTGGGGTTAGCTCCTCGAGCTTTTTCTTGGTGATATGGCTATGCCAATGCTAGTATACTACTACCGCAGTATCAGAGGGAGGACTGTGGGTGCTCCGCCCCCCCCCCCCCCCCCAAATTTTCTGGTCGACTAATGTATAGCTATGTACACACCAGTATGTAAAGCTCTAAGAAAGCTTCCTACGTTAGAGGCGTGAACTGTAGATAGTAGATATTAGATACAGCTTCATATATATATACCCGCCCCAGCTAGCGCTAGCAAGCTCTGCTGGAGGGCAGCGTTGTACTAGAAGTCCAACTACGGCTCTTCTACCGAATGTGGCAGATACCAAGCTGGGTCGAATAGGGTTTTGGTTTCTCTCTCTGCTCGCCTTGTTGTAGTATGCACATAGTGAAAGCTACATGAGCTAGCGAGGGTGCGGACATAGAACGCCGACAACGCACAGCCAAATGAACAAGACATTATGCGTAGCTTCCCGCTCCAATATAACCCAAGACCCCACCAATACAACATTCTACTCATACATCATAGTTCGTAACCTATCTACACTCCACACTGACAATATCTCCACAATAACTACATGTACACCCAACCTACTCAAAACCCACAAATCGATCATTACCTCCCCCCACCCACACCCACACCCCTACCTCTACCTCTACCTCTACCTCTACCCCTCCCCCTCCCCCCCCTCCCCCTCGCAGCACGCCCCCGAACAACGACGGACTCCCCCTCCTCATTAGCCTCCTCCTCGGGATCCGCAGAGGCGAAGTATTTACTCTGGCGCCTCCCCGCCTCGACTGCTGCTTTCCGCTTCGAGCTCCTTCTTGGCGGCGGCGGCGGCGGTGGTGGTGAGGGCTCTTTACCTTTCTCTGCTGACGTTGCAGACTCCGGAGATGCCCCGTCTGTTTCTTGGGGGGCTTCTGTAACTTGTTTGTATTCAGAAGGTCTGAATGGTGGGGGGGCTTTGGTTGGTATCTGTACTTCGATTGTGGTCTTTCTGTGCTGTCCTCGGGGTTCTGGAACTGTAGCTGCGGGAGAGGGGAAGTATGCGGACCGGACTATTGGGGTTGGTGCATTGGAGTCTTCGTCCTCGTCTGAGCCTTCCTCTCCTTCCTCCTCATCCTCCTCAGCACCCGCCCGCTCACCTGACGAAGGAGACTCGGAATCTATATTTCTCCCTTTCTGTGCGACCAGGTTGCGGAAAGACATGGCTCCGTCTTGCGGAAGTTCTGGCGGAGGATTATTGAGAGAGTGGTCGCTGTCCTCGTCGAGGACGATCTCGAGCCCGCCGGCGCTGTGGTAGCTTGTGGGTTCTTCTACGGCTTCCTCAGAGGCGTCTTTCAAGAAGCCCCCTCCAATATCGTTATCATCTACAATGAAGCCACCACCCTCGTTGGCTTCACCTTTGATGAAACCACCACCTTCACCACCATCAGCTTCGTTTGTGAGGAACCCTCCGCCCGAATCCACATCTTCCCTAATGAACCCACCCCCATTATCGTGGTCCTCGCCTTCCCTAACGAACCCACCGCCGCCACCATCCTGCTCGTCGCCTTCTCTGAAAAATCCGCCAGCTTCTACAAGTCCATCTTGATGCTGTTCCTCTACGATATGATGTGACTTCTTCGTAAATGGGTTCACATCCACAGCACCTTCAGCATCATCCCCATATTCGTCCCTCAGATGTTTTACAATCCTTAGACCCATCAGGAACCTCCGCCACAGTGCTAACGCTGCCCTTTCACGCTTTACATCCGCTTTTCTTTTGATTTCTTCCTGCTCTGCTCGCCATGCATCGCGTAGGATGTCTTCATTTTCTGAGGCGATAATGATTCCTTCGATGGATGGGACTGCTCTTTGGTCTGGGGATAGTCAGGATTGAAGCGTTAAGAAAGGAGCAAAAAGCATTTCATATACTTTTAAATTCAAAGCCCGTCACGGCTTCTGCATAGTCAATTCCCAACCTACGAGCTAGCTTTCCAGTACCCTTCAGAGGGAGGTGGATTGCTCCTGGTGGGATCATAGAGGGAACGTAGATATCGATATTCCCGAAAGAGTTTCGTGGAATCTTACCATCCACAATTGGGGGAGGATTATAGATCCTACCTTATGGTTAATTTACAACTATATACTAACAAGGAAAGGGGAAACCAACTCTGTCTGATCCTCGCTATAAAGACCCTCCAAAACAATTTCGCCGTCCCTTTTTGCATCCTCGATTTCCCGCTTCTTGTTCAGTGTAGCAGCTCGAGGCTTGACTCTTTTTAGAGCTTGTTCGCCAGCTCTTATAGTCCTGCCTTCTCGCCACCAGTTTTCGACGGTTTTGCAGGATACAATGTCGTCTTTTGCGTATACCTTTTCTTCTTTGGCCTTTTCACCTCTTCCAGCTGTGAATGTCTTAATATGTGTTTTCCCCGGCCTTACGGCTTCGTCACGTTTCATGTGGCGCTCCAGTATATAGCTGCAACATAGAGGTTCAGCAACTCACGCATTACGCCCAGGACCGGAGCCGAATACTTACTCGGGGTTATTCTTATAGTAGCTGATGCTTTCCTTCTGCTGTTGCTGGAATACATTTACCTTCTCCTTCGCTATGAATTTTCCTAACTCCTCGTCTTCCTTCTTTTCATCCTCTGTCCTCAACTCTACAGGTGTCCGGTATCCCCTCATTATCCCACCAAACCAATCCCGCTTATGAGCATCCACCACCTTCCCCTCGTAATCATAGACAGGAATATCTGTAACTGGGATTCTTGACCCTTTTGTCTTCCCCGGAAATGAGTTTTTGGCAAGATATCTTACAGTAACATCTTTGGCTGTCCCATTTGCAGAGTATGCAATTACATAGGCGATTACTTGCTTCGAGTCTGCAGCTCCTTTACCTTTTGGCTCGAACTTTGCGAGGAGGTCTGGCGTGGAGCCAACGACGGTAAGGACTATTGGTTCTACAGTTATCCATTTGTTGGTGGTGGGTGACCAGGCCTCGGTCCAGAATATTGGGTATGGAAGGTCTCTATCGAATGTGGGTTTCTTGGGTTCTGCAAGATATTATTGTTACTATTGAAGGCTGGAGGAGTGTGGGAGAGGGCGTACTGTGGGATGAACTTGATTTTTCTCGGATGAAACCACCACCTGTGTCGCTATCATCCTCACTGTCCTCTTCACCACTTGATTGGTCTATCTTGTGTTTACCCTTACCACCATGGCCAGTCTTCTTCTGCGATGTCTTCGTTTCCTTTTTAACTAAGCCGGTTCCAGTGTAGTTTTCGCGTTCAGTAAACCCAAACCCTAATGGCTGCAGAGAAAATACCAAACGCGACTCAATTCCTATTGCTCTCAGTAAAGCCGTAAAAAGCATAGCACCAGCGTCTCGACTGCCCCTACACTCTTTGGCCATCTTCCTAAATTCTTCTAGGCTCTCGATTTTCTCGCCCTGATCCTTCATCAATGTAACTTTATCCTCTCCATTTGGACCTTTGTTACCATTAATAAACTCAAATTTATCACTCGCTTCCTCTCTCTCGTCTCGAAACTGCTGCAGCGTTTTATACCCATTCTTCCTCATCCCGGGTTTATCGATTGTAAACTTCTTTTTCCACCAGTGGATCAAGACCCCCAAAAGCTTTAAAATTGGCTCTGTTACACCTTTTGATGCAGCCTTCTCATCTGATTTCCTTTCCTTCCGAGCATGAAACTTTTCAACATCCCTCATGATGCCCGGTGTAACCTGCGACAGCAGCACAGCCTGCAGCTCGGGGTCGCAAAGCCATCTGTTCCGGATACTTCCATGAAAGAGTAGGAACTGCACATGCAGGCAATGTGTTAAAACGCGCATCTGACGCTCTTTAGCAGATGCCCCTTTCTTCTTACTACTCCTAGTATTAGCTCTGATACTCAGGAAGATATCGGGAACTTACGCTGAGAACTCGTTTGGATTGCCATCAAGTGTGAGATGCAGATCACCCTCTATCCTCAAAGCCGAGGATGGTGTTGCTGAAGCTGGCTCAATAGTGGCTTGAAGAACGTCCTCCCACTCCATTTCATCGTCATCCTCGTCTTCGTCGTCATCCTCCTGCTTGGCTTTGCCTTTATCCTTATTACCATCACCGTTGTCGTCACTACTAGGTTCTGTAAGGCTTGAGTCGGAAGAGTCCTCGATATCATCTCTATCTGTCAATGATGGAAATAGAGCTCTCTTCTTTTTTGTAGATGACGAGGACATGTTCCCGTCAGCTTGGGGAGTACTAGTGGTTGCGGTGGTATTACCACTTGTGCTGCCTCGGGAAGGCAATGAATTTTTGATCTTTTGGACACGTATCGGGAACATCCTGCAAAGTTTAAAGTTGAATTTTGCTACACGGATTAGTTATATTAGGGTTAGATACGCCCTGTAGTCTCTAACGAGGTATGTGCAGGTTGCATGCAATTAATGAATTAAACAAAAAAAAAAAAAAATGAGGTATGTGCTCAGCCCCCAGAATATCTATATAGCCAAAAAAAAAAATTGCCTTTTATATAATATCGGCAGTTCGAGGATATCAGAATTCGTCCTCGGGTGTAGCTTTATGATTGTATCGCTTTTCGATTTTGCCTTGATGCTCGTATGATGTGGTGTCTATTGTTCCGACAAGTTCGCGACGGGGAGACGTGACAGAGGTAGCACGTGACTTAATTACGTCAATGTATCTTGGCAGGCACGTCTCATTCACCACACATCACTCGGGCAATTTTATCTAGTGTGAGGAGCTCAAGTGTTTAAGGAACATCGATCCAGGCAAGAACTATGATAATTACAAGTTCAGAAGGCATTTATATCTAGTTTTAGCTGGGGAGTCTAGATTTAATTTCGGCTGGTCTTTGCTTGAGTGCTGCCAAGACTAAACGCGGTGTAGCGGGGTTGACGAATCATCTAGAACATCCCACACCAAGATGTAAAATACGAACTTAATCCCTAGATAGAAACATCGCCCGCCAAAACACCACACATTCACGAGATACTCGAAAATGTCTTCCTCTGACGCTCCCACCGATGTCGAGAACAAGGCCGCTGCCGCGAAGGAAGCTGCTGAGCAGGCCACCCTACCTTACAAATGGACTCAAACGATCCAGGAAGTCGATATTTCTGTACCTGTTCCCCCAGGAACAAGAGCTCGTGACCTCGTTGTAGATATCAAGTCTACGTCTATCAAAGTTGGCCTGAAAGGACAGGAACCCATCATGGAGGTAGGACCCACACTCTATTAATTTGCCTTCTCTACATCCCTCGCCAGTTCTAGTGGTAACGAATTTCTTTTAGGGTACCTTTCCTAAGCGTGTCACAACCGACGAGTGCACCTGGTCACTAGAGGACCAAAAGTCTGTCTCGATCCAGCTCGAGAAGGTCAACAAGATGGAATGGTGGGAACACGTGCTCACCCACCACCCCAAGATCGACACCACAAAGATCACACCCGAAAACTCCAACCTGAGCGATCTGGATGGCGAGACAAGAGCAATGGTGGAGAAGATGATGTATGACCAGAGGCAGAAGGAGATGGGGAAGCCAACAAGCGACGAACAGAAGAAGGCCGATATGCTGAAGAAGTTCCAGGAACAGCATCCGGGTAGGTTTTATTCTCTCCACACTTATTCCTTTCTTAAGCTATTTGCTAATTGCCTCGCGGTGGATAGAAATGGACTTTTCCAACGTGAAGATGACCTGAAGGGATAGCTCCGAGGATTTTTTGTAGTCATAGGGAGCCCATACCAGTCTGCGACTCCATAAATGTAGTAATTGATGGAATTGATGGAATCAAGTAATTCTTTAGTGCATGATCGATCCAACCCCGACCCGTAAATTCAGAGCTAGGGAAAATTAATGATCCAAGGCTTGAATGTGATTCTTAAAGTGATGTGTCCACTAATCTGCCAACACAAATGCATAGTACACTGCGTCGCCAAATTTAAGACGAGCACTTAGTAGCGTAGAGCCCTGCATGATAGCACCGATCGACCCGCATGCGCAGCAGCAACCAAGCATCGGAGAGATTGAGCCTAGAGTAGGGGCGATGCCCTTTTTATTATAACTTGACTAACCAATCTAGGCTCCCGAACAACACAAGCGAGATCGATTTCCTAAAGCTTAATTCCCCTAGAGGATGCGATAAGGTTTAGCCCCATAATTCGAAAATTGCTGATCATCCATGACATGGGCCTGCCCCAACCTTGACACCCCAGCATTCTTGCCTACGAAATTCATTGATACTACTCTACAAGTTTACAAGCAGGCCCTTTCTGAAAGGGCATTGACCCGAGCTACTGTGTTCAAATCATAGCCTAAACGAGCGTGCCCTAGCTGCGATGATGGACTATAGGCTATCCACATATCCCACCATGTACTAGTTATCATATATACCACGAGATCCTACGGGCGGTTCTCTGCCTAAGTATTTTAAGGCTTGATTTATAGTATACTATTGGGTTGAACCTCCAGTACAAAACCTTAACAAAAAAACCTTGCTCTTTATCTCGGTCATCCATTATCACTCGTATCACCAGCCAAACCCGAGCGAAACTCAAGACTATTACACCGAGCTGGTACACGGTCCAGCATAGCTGTAAAAAAAATTTCTATATGTACGTGCGGGAAATCTTTAGTCAGTATAACGCCTCCTGGAAAAGATGACTATACAGGTCCGAATCGATCGAGGCGTACGCAATGATCTTTTCCCCAGTAGCACTAGTATGTAAAAATGAAGCGAAGCCGCCGCTGATCAATATACCAGGAGCGAGCTGAGTCGGCTTGATCTAGCATATCATTAATCGCATAAGGAACAGCAATAACCACATTCAAATGCGAAGAATCTGGTAGAAAAACTGCATTAAGAATTGTAACTATGGAAAAACTTTTTAGAGGCGTGGGATGTTCGTGTCCACCCATCAAGAGTAAAAGGAAAGAAAGGGCCAACACAAGTAAACGCCAATACACCTCTAACCAGGACCTACTCCAATGTCCTCCGTTCAACCACAACAGTAATCCCCTTCTCACCAGCACCCACGTTTTTAATGGTCGCGGCACCCTCAAACAATCCTTCCAAATCGTACTCTTCCCTAAACACACCCTTAAACCTTCTCCGGTCTCTCCATGATTTGATACCAGCGGCTTTCCGTAGCTCCCTTTCGGCGGCTTCGTTTGCGCTGTCTTCTTTTTGGTAGATTCCAACCGTTTTCGATATCTTCTCCGTTGTTGTCGTGTTAGATGAGGCTGTTTTTGATGTTGTTGTCTCCGTCCGGTTAACGATATATACAGTCCTGTCAGGGGAGTTCAGGTCTGATGGTATGATTCGGCACACCACTTTGACAATGAAGTCGATTTCCCCGGTTCTAAAAGCAATGGGGAATTAGTAAAAGATAAACTTAACGTAGAATACACAATGTACCCAGCGTTTATAAGGACCGTTCCATCATGCTTGGTAGACTCCGAATAATCCTCTAGATCGGCCTTCTTATATTCATCCTCCTTAAACAAATCCCGTCTTGCGGCCTCGTTAGCGTCCTCGAGAGTTTTGTATGTTCCTCGGATATCGCTGTCGCCGTAGTCGTAGAGAATATCTGTGGTTTCTCGAATAACGTGGTAAACATATGAGTCCTTGCGTTCAGTATCACTGGTAGAGACAGTCATTTTTTTCAAACTTTTTGGTTTTGCGGCGTTTGATCGATGGGATGTATGTTTATGTGCTTCAATTTATCGCCCGCGTTCCTTCACAGCTTTTTAATAAAGCCGGCGCGGGGCGGGGAACTGTGCTGCAGGGTAAAAAGGAATAACACCTGCGATCCGATAGGTACAAGTTGCATCCCTTTCGCAAGAGCTGGTTGAGAAAATTCGCCAAGGAGTCAACACAATCACTTAGGTATTTCGCATGATTACACGTCGGACTGATTCTAAACTTGCAAGAAGCAAGTGGGGGAGGATGAGGAGGGAAAAAAAAGCTGCAGATTTGATTTTTGATCTGAGTGTTAAATCGTTTGTTTTTCCGGGATCGATGAAGGTGGAGTGGAGCCGTTATTACTTGCATGGATCCAGAAGATCGTATTGCCTACATGGGACACAGACGATCACTCGCTAACACCCAATCGTAGCGGTAGAGTACAGCCAAACGGAGGAGATAAAAACTTTTCTTTCGTCATAGATAAGGTGGTATCTCATGATAATCCGTTTTCTTAAAATAAGCTCTCTGAGCGTGTTCAACAGGCCTCCCTCCCGATTTCCTTTTGTTGGTATTATTTTCAAGAGGCTGGGCCAAGCACAAGTAGTGGACGCCTCATTGGCTTTCTCCGCGGCCGCACCCAAACTAATAGGGCGCGACCATCAAGAACCCCTAGAGCACATCGTGCAATATTCATGTGCATTGTAGATGACCTTCGTAGCTTCCTAGAATATGATCACACAGATCCCAGTGCACAAGATCTGTTGCTGGCAGAGCCTAAGAAAAGGGTGGGTGAGCTTGATACTCTTGGTTTAGTTGTTGGCTCTGTCGAGAGGATAGAGCCTGCCGTCATGATCAGTGACCTGTAAGCCGCCAGAGGCCCTGAGAGACACCTGTATGTCCATGTAGATCGAAATATTAGGGATGGATTTCTGTAAAGCTACAATTCAGTCTTCGTGTCTTTGAGGAACTCCGTTTGTTCTTATAATCCTCAAGGGAGGGAGGAGATGAATTTGGCAGCATAGGGTTTTGGGACCAGTTTGGTGGGTGGTTGCATCAGATGTCAAGGGTTAGCCCATAGGGGCCACGAATCAGGGAGCATGGCATCACTACTACTCGAAATTGCTATGATGTATCAAATATTAACATTCCCATGTCCTGGTCACCGGCCGTCCTCCTCTAGCTCTCTCTAAGCTCGGTCTCTGACCAGTTTCTTCAAACACCCTCCACCCACGAACAATTTGATGTCGTGGTATTCATAAAAAAAAAAAAAAAAAAAAAGAGCTCTGCTAAATACAAATAAAAAAAAAAAAAAAGATCCAGATCGCAGGATGAATCAAATCCAGCACAAAAGAAACCTCTCTGGAAAAGCAGAAGAAAGCCTCCGTAACAGTTAACCTTATACTCCCAAATTTTCGCCCCTACCCAACCACGAGTGCGTAACGCGACATTCACTGCCCACTACGACTTAAAGGAAAGAAGTGTATACAGAAAATAGCGGAGAAACGAAGACACAATAAAATATAGTTAGTCAATACGGGGAGGAGACAGTATATGCCAAGTGAGCGTCAAGATAAGAACAATAGGTGTGCCACTTTTCTCTAATATGTTCAAGCCTTCCCAATCCAGCCACTTGAGACGAAGAAATCGTGAATTCTTGAGACCTTATTTACGTCAATCTGAGCCCAGCTCCGTTAGCGTCTACATTTATGCCAACCCCATAATATTCGAGCCTATTATAGAAGTGATGGAAAGGAAACAAAAGACTTACCCGGCAAATTTCTCTGGCAACCTTCTTCTTCAATACACCCCCATGTTTCATCGCTTCCTTCATCAGTACCTCCTTCATAACCAGGTACGGTTTCGGCAGGATCCTCAAAGTACTACACAGATGCTGTTCTGCGGGTGATAATAAATGCAAATCGGTAGCATTCTCGTTAGTAAGCGCCAAAGGCGCTACACCATCTCTCCCATTGAGACTGTCATTATTATTAGTGAAACTTCCTCGGGAGGGCTTTTTATTGCCGAATAGACTACTATTGTATGGTGATGGGGATGAGGGTATATTATTCGCTGGAGTTGGTGAAGAGGCAGCAAGATCAGCAGGGACAGAAGTGGGTGGGTATTTTGGCTGAACAAGCGGATTGATGGGGGGCGTTTCTACAGGGGGTGTTGCTTTCGATGAGTAGCGATGAGACACGCGGTCTAATGGTGCCAACTTATTGCGTAGTAGCTCGGACTATTCGCCAGTTGTGTTAGGCTCCAAACACGCAGTCGGGAATTCCCTGGCAGAAGGTAGCCTACCCGTTGCGTCTTCTCGATTTCATATTTTTGGCCGCCTTCGAGTGTCTCGATCCCCATCCGACGCCATTCCTGGAGCTGCGTTATGGCTTGACGCAGCTGCTGTTCCTTCACCAGCCCCTCGCAGAAATCGTCAAAATCTCTCTTGTTCATCATCCTTGCGAAAGGCTTCGCGCGGATCAAAAGTTCTCTTTCATCTTTGAGCTTCTTTTTCTCTATTGCCGTGTTTTTCCTATACTCCAACAAGTTATGTTCGTACATAACTCTCTTCCTCTGCCCTCGCTGAGTAAGTTTGTTATTATATATATCCATCACCGTGAGCTTCAGTTCCACTTCTGGCTCCACCAATTTTGTGATTGGATTGATCCCCTCCCCTGGTTCAAAGAACAAGTCCTTAACGGCCATCTCGGCTTCATTATCCCACTCAGTCTCAAACTCCATGCGGCCAGGCATATACCCCTGGATTTCATGGCAGGCAGGGGCAGATGTGGTCGGCTTCTTCTTCGGGGCCGTAGGTGTACTCTCCGCCGCCTCCTTCTTCCGGGCGTCGATACGTCTTTTCTTCCGCGCCTGGAACTCCTCGCGAGATATATCCGCAAAACTTGTATCATTCGGGTCGCTCTTCTCCGGTAACGGGAAACGAGAAGAATTGATGTACGTATCCAAATAGTGCTGCTTCACCTCTTCCTTGTCCCGTCCTCCACCTATATGGTCCGCAACATCCGCCCATGAACCAAGCCCATAGGTTTCTGCGCCCTCTAAAAGCAGTAGCTCCTCATCCGCGCCCCACCCCTCAACGAATATCGGATACGAGTGCTGTTCGATGACCTGGTAGGGATGTGTTGAGCAGTTGTGGTTTCCAGTTTGTGCGCCGGAGGTGAAGCATGGAACGCAGAGATCGTAGTCGGTACATGCCAAGTGAGCACAGCGTATTCGAACCTAGGCCATATATCAGCTTGACCGAAGATCTCCCCTCATGGTGCATGAGGGGGTTTAAGGGGTGAAGTGAAGATACGTACTGTGAATGTAATGTCGCCATTACAGGAGTCGCAATGGTAGCGCACACCAGGCTCTACTCGGCCGGGGTTGGCTGCCTTCTTCTTGATGACGCCCATAACAGTGCTCAGACACCTGTAGCTATGATATATACTCCTTCTACTTAAATAGATTTTATTTGGGGTTGGTACGTCACGAGAAGGGTGGTGGGTATTAAGGTAGGAGTTGGGTTGATATGACGAGCCCTCGGATCAGGCGCGTGTCGTCGTTTGGACGTCTACCCTAGTTCTGAGCGGCGGTCGAAGGCTCGGGTCGTGTAGTTGGAATGGTTGGGATTAGAGTAGATGAGGCTCTTTTTCCCAAATTTGCTGAGGGACGTGGAGGTGGCCGTAGGTGAGCTAGTATCTAAAGGTGCCAAGCACATCCGAAGGACTGCAACAGAGGGAGGAAAAGAAAATAATAAGAACGGGAAGCTACATCCACCACAAGAGGAGCAAGCAGTAACGTCACTTCCGGGATGCCTGGCTAATCAATCCGTAAATACTCGTAGCTTTATAGCGTTTCCGAACACGACCAATATTGCATGACATACGAAAAAGCGCCAAATCCACCTTTTTGTATGTCATGCAATATTGGTCGTGTTCGGAAACGCTATAAAGCTACGAGTAGAGTTCAAACAGCTATGGTTCGATCCAAAAAAAGACCTTCCTGGTACCTGCCTTGGCGCCCAAACCAAACTTAACTGTTTATAGCGATAGCGGTTTTCTATCTCCACGAAAAGATACACCTGATTACCCACTCCTACTGTGACCACATCAACGATCGATGGTAGAATCCAACCGACCCGCCTGTTAGGAATGAACCTTATACTGGATAGCTTACGGTAACCGATCGATATATGAGGAGTCACTCTTAAAGCGTGATTGTCGCACCAAAGACCTCGCCTTTCTACATGTATGTGGTTGACTATACTACATCCAACAGTGGATTTTCGGACACGAAGAATTGCAGTATTCACAGGACACTACTTTGTATTATTACTTTTTATGGTCGCCTGAAAGCGAACTTTAGAGGCCGCTGAGTGTATTAGGCCAATCAAAAACCTTAGTACAAGTGCGACCAGGAAACTTATTCAGACCTTTGGGACGCTACGTACATCATGTAGCCATTACCATGTATCAGCTACAAGTACATTCGATCACGCAATATCACCCACTCCCTAGAAGGGCCTAGCAGGTTCTTGGCTACACGGTAAGTGGCAATATAATTTGTTCTATTATCTGCTTGAATAATAGCTGAAGTTTGAGAATATTTTAGAGGGCCGAAATGTCAAAATATGTGATTGTATGCCTGAAATGTACGAATGACCTAGTTTGATATATCACAGAACAAGAAAATAAAAACAGAAACGATACACGCATTACACCGTAAACAGCCCTCGCATTTTAAGTCCCGGAATCCATTTACAATTTCGCCAACATCTTCTCGCCCTGTTTCAGCATTACAACTGCTTCAGCAACCATCTCTTCAACGATCTCCTTTGCTGGCTTCTTGTCGTTGACGACAGCAGCGACCTTACCCATCAGCCATGGTCTAGCGTTATCCATGGTGTCGTCATCAAGCTTGTCTGCCTTGTCGAGCTCTTCAATGTCATACTCAACAGGAATAACACCTTTGGATGTAAGTGTTTTAATCTCATCCTTCCGGTTCTCCTCCCAGTTGCTGATGTAAGCGTTGTTGCGTACTCGGAGAGGACGGCCCTATAGATATCAGCGACTAAACTTTCGGAAAAAATATTGATGTTGTGATAAACTTACAGTGAAGATGATGGTTCTAACTGTGTCCTCGAAGCCAGCAGTCCGTACAGCCTCTTGGTGGGCCTTAGGTGCGCCGGCCTCATCGGCAAGGATGAATCTTGTGCCAACCCAGACGGCCTGGGCACCCATCATCAAAGCAGCAGCGAGCGACTTGCCATTAAAGATACCCCCAGCAGCAACAACGGTAACTGGCTTACCAGTGAGTGGTGACTTGGTGTTCTTGCAGAGCTCAACAACAGTAGGAATCAAGACTGAAGTAGGGACGTCACCAGTGTGACCACCACCCTCACCACCCTGGGCGCAAATGATGTCGGCGCCAGCTGAAATAGCCTTTGCCACGTGTTTGGGATGCCCAATCATGCTTTTTCATGTCAGCATGATAGATTCACACTGAAGTGGTTTGGAGGAATGCATTTACTTACTTCATGTATGGAATACCGGCCTTGTGCAACCGTTCTACAACGTGTTTTGGGGGGACACCAACAGCGCTCACGAACAACGCCGCACCACTCTCAATCACAACATCAACCAGCTCATCAAGCTTTCCCTTGGTGTAGTCGTAGTTAGTGGCCCTAGCACCACCACCGACTTGTGGTAACAAGAGATCTACCCCGAATGGAGCCTTCTTGTCGTTCAGAAAAGACTTGAGCTCCGAAACCTGCTCTCGTAGCATCTCTGGGGTGTAGCCAACGCCACCAATAACACCGAGACCACCGGCATTGGTGACGGCAGCAGCAAGCTTGGGACCAGCAGCAACATTCATACCAGCGAGCATTACCGGGTGGTCAATCTTGAAGAGCTTGGTGAGCTCAGTTTGAATTTCTATGTGAACAATGGTTAGCTATGTTTGGGTGTTAGCTAGAACAGGGAGCTTACGAGGAGCCATGGCGGATATGTTTTCTAAGGATAAAGATCTGACGAGATTTGAGAGTGGATAGTTGAGTGGAAGATGAAGGCAGAGAATGAGAACCTGTCCTCATGAGAGAGACAGGAACTTTGTGGGGAAGCATGGCTTTAAGGAAGGAGCTCTGTGAACGTGAAAGTCGGCCTAGCACGAGCGAGTGAGCCTCGGCCCAAGTCACGCCGCCGACACATGAGCTCCTTCCTAGGCTTGTCTTTACTAATACTTCCTTTATGAATGTGTTTTTAAATTTTACTTATTAGATTAATTCAATTCTTATAAACAGTTATTGTGAGTAAATTAGATCTCAATAGGAGTTTGAGATAAAGGACATTTCATGATTACCTTCAGTTGGTCAAGCTCTGGTATGGAAGAATCTTTTTTGGTCTTTCTGAGGCTTGATTTGTGGGCTTCTCCCTCGGTGCCGTGACAACCTCGGGATTTTCCATTGCCGGGTAACATAATGTTACATATTGTAGCGTAGGTACAGTTACACGAATGAGAATCAAACACAAACCTATAGTACACTACGAGTGTAGGTACATGTAGGCACAAATGTACATAAAGACTACCAGAAGGCTTCGGACTGTTGGCTTTTACTTTTATATATATTCCTACCATAGGGCACCTATATGTAGCTTCTGAATTCTTTCCAGCAGAATCGTATCTTACAAGTCACGTGAGATCACTGGGCCCGGCTAGCTCGAACTACAACAGATCTAAGCTGCACAAAGGTTCAAATTTACGCTGTCAAATTTGAATTAACTTTTCAATCTAATCTTCAAAAGTGCTATCTGCGGAGCGATCGGTTTATGTACGATTCTACTGCGAGGGCCTTACATATTATTGGTACAATGACGGTGTGGTCCTGCCTTAATCAGCCAGTTACCCACCCGAGTGAAGAATACAGGGATTTTACAAGTCACCTCCGCTCCAACCTCCTCCACTGTTACTTTCTCCTCCCTTCAGGAAATATCTCAACTCCTCTCGCGTTTTACCCCCCCCCTCCCAAAGTTTTCTTATCGTTAAAAAATATCATCAATATCTTGTGCCAACTAATCTACTCCTCTATAGTTTAACTTTACGTCCCTTTACTCTTGAGGACACGAGTATTGCGTTATCGTTTAATAACATCAGTTCTAACCAACATCGATCATGTCTGCACCACCATGGAGGTCTGGCGGCTCCAGCTACACTAACGGAAGTAATCGTGAGTCCACTCTGGCTTATTACGTTGCCTTAACTCTGCTCCTCCTATCTCGTATGTGCGCGAAACGGCTTTCTGACGTGGGTGCTGCGATACAGGTAACGGTGCATACACCCAGGTAAATGCACGCAAAACGCTTTCTTCCGGCACTCGACCAGGCTATTCATATAATCAGGTGAATACGCCTTGCTGTTATGAGATTGTGAACGATGAAGGGCCGTTTCTAATTCGAGTCCCCCGATAGTCAACACAAACACAGACTCAAGCTTCTACAGAGTCACCATCATCTGGGCAGAAGACTACTTTCCCCGATAAGTTAAAACAGTACGTCGCTCGAACTTTCGAAGACTGCCCGCCAGAGTCCAAATCAGAAGTGGAAATAGAACTTAAAAGAATTATTACGGACGCGTTCAATCAAAAAGTTGTATGGACCATAGAATGGGATAATATGCCACTACCTCAACATGTTCTGGCGAAGAAGGCTCAGGAAAAGAAAGACAGGGTAGATAAGGAAGACTCGACAATAACTATGCAGGAGCTCAATAATAGTCTGCGCTCTCCGCCACCAAAGTTGGATACTTCTGGGAGATATTCTCCATCCAATCGAGAGCCTAAATATAACAATGTGATGAACTTTGAGCTTGGAGGTAAAAAAAGAAAAAGGTGAGCAGTCAAGTGCAACTAGAGCCTGGGCAGATCATAGCTACCCAACACTACTGGCCTACTTGTACTGACGTGATGCTGCTAGTGCTAGTAGCGATGAAATATCCCTTGTTATTAGGTCGGATGATAGATTTGACAAGCGCGCTCGTCATGATACTCATCAATATTCCTCTGCGGCAGATAAATTAAGCCAACGTGACAAAGAAAAACGTGCAAAACGATTCGAGGACAGTAACAATCGTGTCTCACCCCAATCACCGCATCCATCAACTCCCATTGATAATGGCAAAATATTAGTTGGAACTTGCGAGAAGCTTGAGAAACAATACTTCCGACTTACATCAGCTCCGGACCCTACACAGGTGCGGCCGCTACATGTTTTGGAAAAGACGCTTGAACTTTTAAAGAAGAAATGGAGGACCGAGTCAAACTACTCTTATATTTGCGACCAGTTCAAGTCCCTTCGGCAAGACCTAACAGTTCAGCATATCAAGACGGATTTCACAGTTTTGGTTTACGAAATACACGCGCGGATAGCGCTAGAGAAAGTAAGTTGCATGCATTTCAGCCTGGTATTATTTAATATTGCTTCTGACATTTTATGGTTCAGGGCGACTTGGGTGAGTATAATCAGTGCCAGACTCAGCTCTATTCGCTATATGGCGAAGGATTCAAAGGCCACGAAGAAGAGTTCAAGGCGTATCGTATTCTCTATCTCCTTCACACATGCAACCGGGCCGACATGAACGATCTGCTAGCGAACCTAACCCCTGTAGACAAACAAGATAAGTCAGTCCAGCATGCCCTGCAAGTACGCTCCGTTCTTGCAGCCGGCAATTTTCACAGGTTCTTTAAGCTCTATTTGGAAGCACCCAAGATGGGGGGATACCTGATGGATTCATTTATTGCTCGTGAAAGAATGTCTGCCATGTGCACTATCTGTAAAGCGTGAGACATGATACTCCTTGGTCCTATTGCCTCTTTTACGTGGTCTAGACTTGCTGACATGGCGTTGATTGTGGCTTTGTCTTTTCGTTTCGTGGAGTTATCGACCCGATATTGATATTAGATTTCTGACTGAAGAACTCGGCTTTGAGAGCGATACCGAGTGCGTGCAGTTTTTGTGCGACAGCGGTGCCCAGGACCTTATCGAACAGAAGTCGGATGATAAGGGTGTTCCCAGGACGATTCGCTTTCAAACAACCAAAGCACTTTCGATATTCGAAGAGTTAAAGAAGTCTGCATTCAAGAAGGTTGATATCAAGGGGCAATTGTAGAAAATACGGTTCTCAACAAACCATCTCTATACCATGAAGCTCGTTGTTTTAAATTGTTTAACGTATCGTCGGAAGAAACGGCTGCTACCTAACGGCACTTACGCTGCTCTTTCTCCCATTCCTCCCCTTTCTCTCAACATTCTTTTAACTCTTTTCCCGCCATATCATGAAGTCAAAAATAACCACGAAATCCATCTAAACCCAAGGCGAATACCTAAGCAGCCAACCCCCAAGTAGGCATGCGGACAATAAACAACGGGCCGAACGAGGCGACCACTGCAGATATGGACTCAAAATAATCTTGAGCAGGGCCGTTGGTCTCTGACCCCCTTGTCTTTCACTTTTCTTTTCTTTTGTTTGCACATTTGGACAGGGTGGCGCTTTTCTTTTTATCTATTTCAGGGCGTTGTTTTCTTTCGGTGGAGGCTGTTTGGGAGTTCGATTCCCTTTACTTCATGTGCATCTTTCTCTCCACGTATCATAGTTCACACCATCAAGATACTTATACAGTCCATAATATCAATAAAGGGAAGAAATCATTATAATACATAATTGCACAAATGTCCAGGGAAGTGAAGTTTAGTTAGGATCTGCGGGCCATTGACCATAGGTCCCTGCGGGGTATGTGCCTTCCTTCTCAAGGAACTAGGGTCCGTACTCCCAAATGCCGTAAGACTGTAAGTTGTAGAAACCTGGTACTTGGGTTCCCCCGCCCCGAACAAGATTTTTCTCGAACAAATATGTTTCATCTCACCTTTTTCGAGTCCGGATTGATATCGGGCAAGTCAGCAAGGGATGTCCTAGGCGGATTAAAACCTACCGATACCCGAACCCTTAATATCGGGTAATCGGGCCTGCGTACCTTGAGAAAATATTAATGCTTGACCTTCGATGAATCTTGTTCTACTATTGTGTTATATACTTGCATACATAGTAGTTACTCTACGTCACTGCACTTCTATTCTCCGCAGTGTTTAAATGCCATATGTGTAGCACTGTGTACTCAATAAGTTCCGAAACACCGATATATATAGTACGACGAGGAAGGGGGAAAAAACTACCGAGACTCCGGATTCTGCGGATGGTTTTGTGGAGAAGGAGGAAAAATTAAACTATCTACATGACATTGAGCACAATACATACATGATGGCGGGAAAGGCGGCGGCGTGTACTAAAGTGTGGTGTGGTATATATGTGAGTGAGTGTGAGTGTGTGTGCGCGATGTGCGCCCACTTGAGTGCACTTTGTGCAAAGAAAAGCTCCGATATGTCAAATGTCAGATGTCAAACTGTCATCCTTATGCGCCCTTCTGCGCTTGTGCAAAAGAAAGAAGGAAAGCAATGGCACAAGGCTTGCCCGGGGGGGCTTAAACGTCAATCAAGCTAGCGAGTAAGGCAAGGCAGCATGATGAGATGAGTATGGGGTAAGATAAGATGGAGATGGATGTGCATTTGGTATCAACATTTAAACGGGTTCTGCTCCTGTAGATATGAGATCTACAATTTGATGTGCTTCAAATTGGGGCTGGGGGGAGAAGTCAATCTCGTATTGGTGGTAAAGGTCAGCGAATTTATATTGACTGGTTGCTGGCCATGCTGGTGGGTGGGCTGTGCATTATGCTTGGAGGTTACTTAGTTGAAAGTTTGAGGATATTATATCATTGACAGAATATAGGCTGGCAACACCTTCACCTTGAATATGGAGATTTATGATCACTCCGGGTGAGCGCGCTAATTTATGGTTTTGGTTCTCCGTGTTTTGTGCTCGGAGTTGTTGAAACACTTGGTTTTGGTTTATCTTTGACGACATGAGTATCAATATTAGCAATAAGTTTAATTACCCAGTATGGAAACGAAGCATCATCTTTAAGTATATTAGCAACTGATGAAGTTTCGAGAAACACAGGTAAAGCCATGAATAATAGGTATTATCTAAGGGCAGGATCTTCACAAGCTAGTTCTCTACACCGGCCTGTCGTCGGTCAAGCAAAGTATTATTATCAAGATAAGATTCTAGCTTTTGCACGTGGCCCTATCAGATAAACGACAACAGCACTAAAATCACAGTTGAGACAAGGGCAATGACATCTACACCAGGTATCAAGTATGTAGGGCAGATATCTAAAGTAGATCCCCATACCGGTCTCTAATGACTCTTGTTGTCGCCGAAAGAGCGAGACAAGACATGGAAGCTGCTGTTCCGACTGGTGGAGGCGATTCGCCGCACAGAAACCAGCATGGACCCTGCCTCTGATTCAGCCATGTATGGTACTTTGCAGCTCATGTGCTACCTAACTAGGTATTGATACTGAGTGAATGAGACGAGGCCATAACTTTTAATCGAGATGGCTATAGCAGCTGCCCCCACCCTAAAGGATCGTTTCTGTAAGTAAACAGAGGACACCTTTAATTTTGACATCGTTTGTGAACGCTCTTCCCTTTGTCCTTATGGGAGGACACCCGTGCCTTAGTACAGCATAGCGTGTCGACCCAACCTCAGATCGTCGGTCGACTCGAAAATATTCTTTCTTCCTCTTATCCTCGATAGCACATGTTATGAATATATATTGCCGCCTGCGCATGTAAAGTAGACTCGTAGGGTTGGGGGTTGGAGGTTATGAGCGATCTCTTGCCACGCGTAGGGTTGGTCGTACGAGCAAGCTTCAATTGTCATATCCATCCATGGTGGTGGCCCAAAAAACGAAAAATCCCATTTTTTTTTTTTGAAGGGCGCAACAGAAGGAATAAAGAAGGATTATGAGAGGGAGTGTTTCTGACACACACACACCCACACCCATTGATTTTTTCTTTTTTCTGCCAGGTAGCGCCCACATCAATCACGTTCTCCCTGCCGAGCGGCAGGACGGCCCCAAAGAAAGGGACAACGTCCTGCGAATTACATATGTTGTGGTTGAGTTGCTGATAATATGACGGATGGGCAGTGCCGGCGGGCAGGCAAGCTCCGTTTCCTCGAGCTTGGGAGATCACGATTTCACGATGGACCGGATAATGGGTTGCAGTAATAAAGTTCTAGAGTACCGTAGTAAGCAATACCTACTCTACAGTACCTACTCTACAACTCTTCTGTAAGCCTCGAGAGAAGTGGGGGATATGGCCTATGTAGGGCGAAAGGACCCTACCTATTTACTCCATGCACATATTCGAGGTCCAAAGGCGGGTATGTACTTTAGTACGGGATGCATATTATCACTTGTGGATACTGACATCACGATTTTCCTACCGTTTGCTGTTATTGTTGTAGTTACTTGGACCCTATTTGTTACCTTAGGGTACAGAGTCACAGTGGTGGTAGTTCATGCAGGTGGTACCTGTACTAGTAGGCACCAATAGTAAATACATGTAGTACTGCACCCTGAAGAACTGTCATGAAGCTGAAGCACTACATAGTACATATAGCCATGAATAGTAGAGTACTCACTTCGTCCATGTCCAGTGCACTATTGAATCCATCCTCAATTACATACCTAGATGATCTGTGGATACCATTGGGATTTGTTTTTCCTTCCTTGCTTGCGCTTTGCTCCCAGGTACGCAAGCAAGCACGCAAGCACGCAGCATCGTTCATAATTCCGAGCCCTATTATTGAATCTATTCCCGCACTGCACAGTGCACACCCTCCTGGTCCTTGCTTGCCTGCAATGTAGCATCATTCCCTTCTGCCCTGCCTCACTTGCAATTGTAGAAAAGACTTTTAAAGTCGCCCAACGTGCATGAATTATATCCATTGAGCATCTGCGCTCCATCACGAGAGATCGGGTTGACAATTGCTCAAGGGATTCTTCACTCTCGTCCTCGCTTTTTAATTCTTTAGCTTTCTTGCTACCTTTTTCTGCTTCTCTCAGTCTCCCGATCTCCCCCGTCTTGTTGTTTCTTGGAAACCCGAGTCACGACGCGCAAATTAGACGGACAGAAACTTGCCCACTTGCCCACTTCTCTTACCCCCCCCCCCTCCTGGTGCTGTTGGAAGTAGTCGCGGCACTTTATTCTTTTACAGCTTAGAGCTTTCTCCCACTTTCCAGACACCCTCCCTTGTTTCCGTAGTTCATAGGCACTAGATAGATAGTGAGCTCTCAGAGAAACATCCCCCTCATCTTCAACCTCCCGCTTCTTGATTTATATCGCCCTGTGGCTTCAACCTCATTTCGCTTCTCACACCCCTCTGCGCCTGGACTGACTCCAGTGACGACTCAAAAGAAGAGAGGCTACCAAGGACCCTTACCCCACCTCCTTCCCTCCCCACCCACCTTGTGCAATCTCTACCAGCGCCTTAACTAGCTTCAGCCCTTTCGCCCCTTACCGCACGCCGGGGGTGTGCATCTGCTTGTTACTAACCAGCTGTCCTCCCTAAAAAGGAATTTATTCTTTCTACTGCTACTGCCTGCCTGTTTGTATAATCTCTCTCGGTGTGCTCTGCGTCTTGCTGGTTTTCCTTCTTCTCCTACCTCAAGCAGCGCTCGTCATTCACTTATTTCTACCATCACGTTCCTACCTTCCCACAACCACGCTGAGTTTTTTTTAAAAAAGTCAGTGACATATATCAACTACGTACCGCTATTTCAAGGCTTCTTTCACCGCCACTGCTGCTCCCACACACCCCCCCCTGCCGGTCCAACAATCCCGCACAGACCGTCTTCCTCGTGTGGCCCTTTACTCCCCTTCCCTCTTCTCATCTGCAGCCCCGGATACATCTTCGGAACCCACAGACTCACAACTCCTCTTCGCGCGCCTCCAGACATCTGCAGCTGCGATAGGCGAAAAATCCTCCATCGACAGCTTCGAAAGCGCGCACTTTCCCGGCAGCGGAATTTATAGCAATAAAGCATAGCATCAGTCGAATACCAACTTGCATAGTTGAAAACGAACTGAGAGCTCAGAGAGGAAAGAGCGACAGCAACGGAAGCGAAAAAGCAGCAGCACGAAAAAAAAACAAAAAAACCCGCTATTCTATCCAACGGGAGAGGAACCGCATTCTACGCTTTC